TTTTTTTAATTCCGACATTTGTCTTTGTCCAAACATTAGGTTTCTTTTGGGTCACCATGTTGGTACTTAAAAATTGAAGTGAACTGCGGTTGGAAGCAACTATGCTAAAATATTTGAATCAAGGACATGTGAGTTGGAATGTGAAGTAAAGATACCTGAACCATTTACCTTTTCAACTCTTACCTAAGATTTCAAATTTGTGCCAGTCCAAAACTGTTCTTTCAAATCATTTCCAAGAGATTACTCATATTCAAGAACACCCCTTAACGTACTTTATCCCAACTGTTCTTGGAGGGATGCATTGTAGTTTTGTTGATTGATAAATGCAGTTCATATCTGCTCTCAGTTACAAATCAAGTTGTTTCCTGTAATTCTGACATTTGGTCTTTTGGTCTTTTTTATTCGGACATCTGGCCTGTATAGTGAAGGTTATTATATGATCTGGTAAAGTATTTGAAGAAGATACGGGAGCCAGTAAAAAGTTTCTAGCCTCTTTAAATGATCTTCGTCCTTTCACATGTATCAGTTATACCTCCACTCTATAGTGATTTCATATGCAGTTCGGACAGTATCGGGTACATTATCAGATTTGACAGGTTTAACTTATTGTGGCTGTTGTTTCTGTTGGTTACAGTGGTCTGGCATTTATAGCTAATAGGAATCTGTCCCGGACTGTTGGGCTGTTCTGTTGGTTGCCGGACAAAGGGAAGAATAAAGCTGCAGTGGTTGAGATTCTTAATGATGCTTGGAATCTATATATTGATTCTCAAGGTGTGAAGGCCTGGAATTAAGAATTATCTTAGAATTTTTGTTGGTTATATCATTCACTGTTTTGATAGATCCCACTTGTCCCCAGTGAAAACGATGTGGCTCTTTAAATATATATATATATAGTAATGGTGGGGTGGGGTGGGTTGGGGGGGGGATGTGTTGTCAATAAAAACCTTAAAATAGAATGCTCTATGAAGCTACAACACACTAATAATCCCTGATTGGAAGTTTAGCAAATTTCGAAACTTCTCTCTAGTTAGTAAATCTATATGCCATATTTCCATCCAGTATCCATTTAGCTGATTGTTTTCTTTTCTCCAACTGTTTGCTCTCAGAGGATGGTGAAGAAAATGTGATCTTGGGACTCTCTGTGGACAAGGTCTCCCAGAATGAGGAAGTCAAATTCATGCTGGGAGATGAGGAAACAGAAGTCTCACCTTGTTGTGTAATCATATATCTAACTATCGACGGGAAGATTTCGGTTTTTCACTTTGCTAGGTAATTATTCCCCGCTATGAATTAGTTTTATTTTCAGAGTTAATATGGTTAGAATTTTAGATGGCAATATCCTAATGCTACTTGTAATTATCTACTTTCTTGTAGTGCTGCAGGTGCTTTGACATCACCTGAAAGTTGTGCTTCTGATGAGGAAAACGAAGCTTCTCAGATATTTGCAAAGCAAGAGTTGCCTCTGCATTCTTCTACCGGGGGTGAGGAAAGTAAAAACCCAACCCTTTTGACCTCTGGTTCTCATAAGTTCAGCGAATTTGGAATGGAGAAGATAGGTGCTAAGGTCACTGTCACAAGTGATTTATCGCCTTCTATTAATGGGGACATCAAATCACGAGAGCATCCGTCTACTGAAAACATGGGACAAAAAACTCTTGTGTACTCGCAGACTCCAAAATTGGCTGAGCCAGTAAAGGCCTTTCCGTTAATATTGAACCAGGATAGTAAAGTGGAGAATCAATCGACTAGTGAAGTCAAACACAATACAAGTTCATTTTCAGGGGAAGTAACTGGTGATTTATCTTGTCAATCAATAACTAAAGATTCACAGTCAAGTGGCAATGTGGATCCGTCACAGAAAGCTCCAACGCCACATTCACTAAGTTCGTGGTCTTTAACCCGGTCAACTGCTTCAAAAACTGCTGATGGAAGGTTTTCTTTGTTCCCTTCTGATGTTGGCAATCCAGATAAACATGCATTGCAATCTGCTGGGAGTGTACTGCGGCATCCTACAGATATAAATGAGATATCCAAACCTACTGTCTCTTATCCCTCTTTTGGACAGACAGCGTCTATTGCTCAGGGTCATAGAATTGTACTGTCAGCAAATCCTGTTTCAGAGGCGTCTCCAGGGGAAGGTGCTGTTTCAGGAAAACATTCCCAGCCCGAATTCAGGAAGGAAGTGAATTCGTCTTCCTCGAGAACAGGGCTTCAATACTCTATACAGAATGCTTCAAAACAGTCTGGAAATGTAATCACTGTCATACTTTATATGGATGTCTATCTTATACGATGGCATTTGTTATCTCTTCCATCTTTTAGCATTATCTCTTGTTGATGAACTCCACTTATGAACCCTCAGATCGTATGGCTTAATGTTAAAAGTGTTGCTTCAAGTTGGACACCTTTTATTAAGATCTCACAATATCCTTTCTTCCCTTTTTTACTGTATGTTCAGGTTGAAGAAATGGCTAAAAAACTAGATATTCTTCTTGAAGGAATTGAAGGGAAAGGTGGTTTCTTGGATGCATCCATAACTTCTCAAACAAAGTCTGTTACGGAGTTGGAGGACAATATATGGACACTTTCCAGCAAATGTAGAAAATGGAGGGTTTGTTCTTCTATGTGTTTCTCAGTATAGAATATATTGGTTGAGTTTTGTTTTGGCATTATGTTTACTTTCTCGTCCTCAAGGGTCTTTTGGAGTCTTCACACACATACATGCACAGTCATCCAATGAATTGGATCACACGTGTGTAATTTTGTTATATATACATATACGTCTTTAACCTTCTATGTTTTAGTAAGCATAGGTTGAGTTTTTTGCCTTGTAATCTCTTGATCCCAGCATAGAATTTATAGTTTGGTTCTGATTGAAGCTGAGAAGAACCTTTTTCTTTAGAGTTTGCAAACACTCCTTTTCAACTCAAGTGCTCAGAAAATATATTTTATTAAATTCTATTTTCATCTAGACTGATTTAAAAGTTTGTTTTCTCTACCTTAATTCACTTTCTCTTTATCATGTAGGGATATATGAATGAACAACTGAAGGAACTAAAGCTTCTGCTTGAGAAAACTGTACAAGGTATTTTACTAATTGGTTTTGTATCTCAGTCCTCAGTTACATATGTGAAGTATGTTGCCTCGTCTTCAAATGGATATATTGCCTGTGATGATTATAACCTACCCCCTGTCATTGCTGTTTAATGGATGTTTTTTTTTTTTTTTTTTTTTTTTTTTTTTTTTTTTTTGTGGTGGGGGTCAATGTGAACATGCAAATGTAGAACTACTTGTTACTTGTGGTAATGGTGGCATCCATAGAGAAGTATAGTGGAAAGGTAAGAAGAAGACCTGGAAATGAGAAGATGTATGACGTTCTGATAGGGTTAGCCAATTTAATGCTATATTTTGGGGAATATGAAGAGTTCAACTAGGAAGATATGAAGTACAGCTAACCAGAAAGCAATAATCATTTTTTATGTGTGTGATCCATTACATATTAATTAAAAATATATTTCCTTCGGTGTAAAGTTCTAGCTAAACAGAAAGCAATAATTATTTTTTATGCGTGTGATCCATTACATATTAATTAAAAATATATTTCCTTCGGTGTAAAGTTCTATTAGGAGACTGATGATGCACACATCAGATTTATTATCTCATTATCGTCACACCAGCAGCACAACTGGAGTCATAATAGTTGTGTTTTCTTTTGGATGAAATTGCAGATATTTTTATGTATTTTTGTCTCAAAGGTGTACATGTGGTAGAATTGCTTCTTTGAGGACAAGTTTTGTTATCAGTATGTGGCTTGACTGATGTAATACTATTAACTATTTTGGTTCGTGTAGTGTATACTTTAATATAGTGCTTGTCTGCTTGATGTCATGTTAGCTTCTTTTCAGAATTTCAGTGTTATCATTACAAAGTTTTCACTTGTTAGTGTTTGCTTCTTTCTTGCTTGCTTGTAAGATTTTCTCTATATGTTTTGTCTTTGTATATGTGAATTGATTATTATCCTTCTGAAGTTAATAACTCTAGAATGTTATTTCAGTTTCCGTGAGGAAAGTATATATGGAAGGGGTCTTCAAGCAAGCAACAGATAGCAGATACTTGGAACTTTGGAATCATCAAAAATTGAGTTCTGAACTAGAATTGAAACAAAGACGAATATCAGATTTAAACCAGGTGCATTATGGTTCACCATAATTATGTGTTCTGCATCAATTTTTATGCTCCTGCATCCACCATATTCTTTCTCTATAAACATAATTTCAGGAGTTGACCAACAAGTTGATTGAACTGGAGAGGCATTTCAACTCCTTGGAGTTAAATAAATTCGGTAATGACGGAATGCAAAGAAATCGGAGAGGCCTGCAGAATTGGCATGGCCATTCAAGGTATTGCATATTAATTTTTTTCGGCTTCGTTTTCTGTTTGTTTGCATATGGATCTCAATGACTGCTCTCTTAACTAAATTCTCGCATCCTTATGCAGTAATTATTAATTATTAGCAACTGATGAGTTTCAAAAAGTCCCTTTATAACAGATGAAATGAAACTCGTTTCCTTGCAGGCAAACTCAGTCTTTGAACACTCTACATAACACGATGCAAGCGCAATTAGCAGCTGCTGAGCAACTTTCTGAATGTCTTTCAAACCAAATGGCTGCTTTGAGTATTGAATCCTTTGAAAAACAGGATGTGAAAAAGAAGCTCTTTGAATCAATTGGCCTCTCTTACATTGGGGACTCTGAAAGATCTCCAGCTAGGGATAGGATCTCCTGTACTCCTCTTAACAAAGAGCAGTTACTCACTTCAAGATCTGTTACTTACAAAGATCACACGGGAAGAAACCAATCTACATTTGTAAAGACTCCTGAAACTGCAAGGCGGCGTCGAGATTCTCTGGATCGAGTAAAATTTCTTTGCTGGCCTTTTAGCTTTTATTTCTGCAGTTACCATAAACCTAGAACTCCTAAGAAATTCCTAATTAAATAACCTCCCTACCGAGTAAAGGACTAAAATAATTAAATAATTCCCTACCAAGTAAAAGACTAGAATAATTAAATACCTTAAATAGCAATAAAATAAATGGAACAAATAATTAAACTAATGATGCCAAACGGTCATGCTTGTCTATAAAAGCCAACGCAATCTCGTCTCCATCACAATCTATCCGCATGGAATTCAATATAGGCATTAACCTGTTAGACTAAAGTATATGCTGGGAAAGGCCTCTGGCTAATGAAAGCAAATGTTTATAATCCCTCGAGTTGATTGGCATGTTTGAACTGTTCCAGATTTACAAGTCAAGGTGGTTTGTTATGAGGTGTAGAGAGTTTTCTTTCAGAATTTAATTTCACATATCACGATAATGATAAGTAAAAAAGGTTCTTATGACCATTGAAACTTGATGTGCAGGCTGCTCACTTGTGTAATTGGGTGCAGTATCCTTGTTGGTTCTAAATAGCCGAAAACATAAATACTTGCTTGTGCATTGATATGCTCATAAGTCGGGCATTATATTTGTTATATTTGTTCAATATCAATCTATCGATCATTTCCACTTGGATAACTACAAAAGGTGGAAAAAGAACATTGTGAAATAAGAGAATGCAGGTTGTCCATCTTCTATTTAAATTACAGTCATTTTTTCTTCTCCTTACGTTGTCCGTTTTCTCTTAATTTTGTTATTTAAGGATTAATTTGGTATGCACTATTTTGGCAACTGCAGAGCTGGGCAAGCTTTGAACCTCGAAAAACAACTGTGAAAAGGGTGCTGAAAGAATATGGTCAGAGCAACACAAACCTGCCGTTGTTAAATATTGATAAACAAAGTCTCAGTCCACAGCTGCCAAGGAAGTCAGAAGTTGCTCATTCAGCAAACTCAAGTATGTACCGAGCAGCTTTGAACAGTTACAAAAACAAAGGTGGTTGATGCAACTCTAGTTGTATAATATATGAACTCATGCGTTAATAAAATTTAACCCAAGCTGTTCCTGGAACTTGCACAGGCGTTGCTGAAATACCAGAACAGCATACGGTGGGCCAATGTAAACCTGTTCTCCAGAGGACAACTGATTCGCCAGATAATGGAAACCAAAATATATCAACTAGAAACTCTCTTTCATTGCCACCACCATCCATGTTGGAGACAAGGACAGCAGAAAATAGTGGACAAGTAGCCTTTCAACTAATTGGTGAAAAATCAAGGGGTGGCCTACCTTTGACAGGAAATAAAGATACTTTTGCTGCAAGCGAGTTTAATTTTTCCAGCAAAGATTCTGATACAAGATTCCAGGCATTACCATCCACTTCCACACTGCTAACCGAGCAATCTCTGACATCATCCTCTGTTTCCCCCGATGCATTGGAGCACTTTAAACATGGGTTCACCACGGTATCAAAAGGGGAACAGAAGAAGAATGCTTGGACAGGGTCGAACACTCCATTATTTGACTCTAAAATCCCTGTCCGTCCGGCATCTGCATTTAGTTCTGGCACAAATTTAATTGAGAAAGTTCCTCCATTCACTACGAGTTCAGAAAAACCAAGCCAGCCCAATGATAGTTTGACAGATTCTGTTCCATCACAGTCACTCCTTGGTTCTTCATTATTTTCAAGTAACAGTGTACCATCATTGGCGTCCTCTGTATCAAAACCAAGTTCGTCAACATCAACTTCTGTTGCAAAACAGGAGGCAGATTTACAGCCTCAGATGTCAGTTTCTTCAACCCTGAATTTTCAGAGTAATCTTTTATCTAGTTCCCCCTCATCAAGCATAACCAAGTCAGACACTCAGACATCGTTGTTTCAACCTCCTGTTCCCGTGCTTGGCTCAAATACCGAGAACCTTCCTTCAACAAAGACGCCGGTCAATAATACATTGCTGAGAAATGATCACGATGTGAAAATTCAGGCTTCACCATTGCAATCTGGGTTCTCAGTTTTTACATCTGGTTCTGAACTTACACCTTTTACATCATCTGGGTTGACTGAATTGCCGAGCAATTCTAAACTCGGAAGTCAAATTGATTCAGGTGTCTTGTCAAAGAGTTCAGCTGTTACATCACTTATCAATGCTGAACCGCCTACTGCAGCTGAAGTTCGTTCACCAGCCTCACCATCAAGTGAAGGGATTATTGGTAGTGCGAAAACAGTAGGTTTGATTTCTTCTGAAGAGGAGGAAATGGAGGAGGAAGCTCCCGACACAGATCAGACTACTGAACTATCGCTAGGGAACCTTGGTGGATTCGGGATTGGCTCAATGCCAAATTCAACCACCCCCAAATCTAATCCATTCGGTGTATCAACCCTCAACAAAGATGCAACACATTTTGCTTCATCGCTCAATACGTCTGCTCCTATTGGCGAGCTTTTCAAACCTGCATCTTTCCAATTCCAACAACCTCTGCCTCTGATGTCTTCCCAGCCAACGGCGGTGAACTTTTCTGGTGGGTTTAGTTCTGGGAATTCCGGTCAAGTGTCTGCTGTTTCTGGGTTCGGACAACCCGCAAATATGGGAGCAGGTCAACAGGCACTGGGCTCAGTACTTGGTAGTTTTGGACAGTCTAGGCAGCTGGGGCCCAGTTTACCAGGAAGCAATGTGGCCCCTGCTAGTGGCTTCGGGGGGATTCCTACCGGTGGTTTTGGAGGATTTGGTTCTGCTTCTACAGCCGGTGGTTTTGCGAGTTTGGCGACAGGTGGTGGAGGATTTGCCGCTGCTGCCACTGCAGCTGGTGGATTTGCCGCTGCTGCCACTGCTGCTGGTGGATTTGCCGCTGCTGCCACTGCCGCTGGTGGCTTTGGTGCTGCTGCTTCAAATCCTGGTAATTTTCTTAGATAGTTGCTTTCTTCTTAAAAGTTACGTATTTTGATCTTTAATATTGTCGAGAAGTGGTATGCAATTAATTTTATTGTCGAGAAGTGGTATGCAACTAATTAAGGAACTTCTGTTTTTCTGGTGGTTTAACTGATTTTTTTGCTGGGAAAAACAGGTGGCGGATTCGGAGCTTTTGGGAACCAACAGGGCGGTGGCGCGTTTGCGGCCTTTGGTGGCGGCTCAGGAGCTGGAAGGCCTCCCTCGGATTTGTTCACGCAGATGAGGAAATAGATTTGCTATTTAATGTGAATCTGAGAGATGATTATAATTAAATTGAGGGGGTTAAGAGTGTGAACCGAGTGATTGATACTCATTCATTTTAGTTTTGGATGTGTCTGATTCGTTGTTTGAAACTTGAGTGTCTTGACCATCTGTACAGACTGTACTGTTCTCTCTTAGGTTATATCATTGCCTAAAAACCTTGCATGCGCCGTAAAGAAAAAGTATCTTCGTTAATCATTGGCAAAATTGCGTCTAAGAGCATATTTAATACTAATAAACCTCCATAAACCTCCTTTTACACTTCCCAACATGTCGTCACATTATCTAAAACCTCATTCTTACTCCTACATTCATAAACCTTTAATAACAACAAACTACATAAACTTCATTTTCATGGGTCCCACATGTTTCATACTTATTTTTAATTAATATTACATTCTTATATTTTTTAAAACACATAAAAATTAATTTAATTATAATGTTCCTCACTTGCTTTTAATTAATTTATACTCATACATTTATCATAAATGCATATAGTATAACAAATATAATTATATTGTATTATATATAATTATAGAGTGTTAATTACTAACGATGTAAATGAGATTTTAATTAATATTACTCTTATATATAATAATATTTTAAAAATAAATATCCACTTTTATTTTAATTCAAGCTAAAATATTTCATATATTTACCACAAATCCATATAAAATCATTTTAAATAAGTTAATGAATTATTAAAAAAATAATCTAAATTAGAAATAAATTTTAAAGAATAAAGTAAGGGTGTCTCCAATGGTTAGCTATTTGGCTAGCTATTATGACGTGGATAGGGGAAAAGTAAGAGAGAGAGTAGTCACTAGCTACTAACAAATAGCTTATCTATTTCACGTAGCCCAATATTATGTGAGAGGAGTATGTGGGTCCAATAGTGTAAAATAATTATTTTTCTTATCTCTCACATCCATGTCAGCTGACTATATAGCTAGTAATAGCTATTACCATTGGAGATGCCCTAAAAGAAAACGTATGCAAAAATAAATAAAGAAAAAAGTGAAATATTTTTTAAAACATAGTTTACCTCATGAATTTAATAAATAACGAAAAAACAAAATTAAAAAAAGGCACATGGGTGTGCACCAGTGGGCCATAGTCTCTCCACTCCACTTTTAGCAATTGGACTACACGTGCCCAAAGATTAAGCATGTGGATGAAAATGTGAACTCCACTTTCTTCTTTTCATTCTTTTATGTATTTTTTAAATTTTTATTTTAAGAGGTTTGAGGGAGTTGTGTTTACAAACCTCAAACCTCCCCTCTCTAGTAGCAAAACCTAAGGTTTGTCTTTTTAAACCTCATCCAAAAGCTATTGTTAAAGATCCTCTAATATTATGACTTTTATCGAGATTGTAAGGGATGCAAAAGAGTAGTATTTCAATACGTATAACCTAAGGACCACAACCTTTTATGTACATTAAGTTACATTGAGGATCTCTATTTTAGCCCATCATTAAAATAGAGAAGACCCACTAGTTTCTACACATTAAATGCCTACATCCTAGGGCTGAGCATGAGACTCAGAGAATTCCGAACTGTACCGAAAACCGAAGCGAAATCACTCCGAACCGAAAAATAACCGTTGACCGTTTGACTTTCTCCGAATCGAACCGAAAAGATAATTGGTACGGTGCTGGAGATTTCACAAATATCCGTACCGAGAACCGAACCAAACCGTCTCATACCGTACCGAACTGAAGAACCAAAATTAAGAACTGAACTTTAACATTAGATGTGTTATTAATATATTTTATGTCACCTTTGATCCTTTATAATATAATAATAATAACTATTAACCTTCAGTTAACTTTCATGTTTAGTAATACTTGATCTACAATTAAATTTTTTCTATTATAAAATAATTATTTAAAATAATATGAAAGGTTAAAGAATATTTTTTTAGAAAAAAATATTATATTTTGTTTGAATTTTAAATTTTTAATATTAGTTGCACAAATTTAGTCTTAATTAAAATTTAGAGTTACTTCTAAAGTTGATTTCAAAATAAAACTTTTAATATGATGAAGTATTGATGAATGTTGGTTTTATTAAAGCATATAAAAATTAAGTAACTAAAATTTAGAGTTACTTCTAAAATTGATTTCAAAATAAAATCTTCAATATGGTGAATTATTGATGAATGTTGTTTTTTTAAAGCATTTAAAATTGAAATAAAACTAGGTAGTCATTAAAAAAAAAATCTAAAACAAAAAAATTCTCCGAAGATCCGAACCAAACCATACCGAACTGTATCGTCCCAATAGTCTTGAATACCGAACCGAACCGAAAATAAAAATCTCCGAACCGGACCGAACCGACTTTTTGGTACGGTTCCGGAGATTGAATTTTGGGATCTCCGAACTTTGGTACGGTTCCGGAGCTCTATCAATCTCCGAACCGTACCGACCCACGCTCACCCATACTACATCCTATTGATATTTTAAAGCACAATAACCTTAAAACTTAATTGATCACTTTTATTTGGGTTTTTTTTATTTGAAAACAACAATACAATAATTATTTCACATATCAGCCCAATACTGGATTAAAGATCCAATTTGTTTCAACCAAGTTAAAGTGCTTGTCCTGAAGCATATGTGAGAATATGCACTCGGGCTGGACTGTGATTCTGGGCTGGAGAAACTTGCACCGGATAGCATGAGATTAGTGAAAAATTATGAGATTTGGTTTTAAAGGTATAAGATTTATATAAAGTTTGGTAGGAGCTTGTAGGATGCTCATGTAAAATGTAAGTTTGTGGGACTCCCACCTTAGGATGGATTCGTATGAAGTAATTTCAATCTACTTTTAGAAATATTGGCAAATGTATGTATGTGTACTCTTTGAGTCAACCAAATATATGTATAAGGTTGCGCACATTTTAAGCATCAATATTTGAGGTTGACTAAAAAGCAATCAATATTTCACAATTATATACTAAACTCGGGCTGACTGTGCGTGAACAACAGAGGAATATATCACTTACCCATAATTCATTTGAACAAATAATCATCCATTATAAAAATACCCAGCTTCATTTCAATAATTTCAAGACAATGAAAATGATAATTTAAATGTTGGACAAACTTTTTACCCATCAAAGACTAAATTTAACGACTGAATATAGGTCGGGTGTGCGTGCACATCCGGCAGACTACTAGTATATATATATATTATGTTACATCTAAAATAAATTTTAATAAAAATAAAATATATATTTATATAACATGGAAATTTATAATGTACTTACTATATACTTTAAACCTTCGAAAATTATAAATTGTTCAGATATTCAATCACTTCTTGTACATAAATTAATTTTGAAAATTACAATATATACTAAAAACCGATCATGATTTCTTCTCGAAGTCTACTCGATTAACAAACAAATGAGCTTGTTCAAATTATCAAATACAACCAAGCTTGGAAGAACTTTAGTTTGTGAACGTTTGGTTCGTTAAAAGCTTTACTCATGCGGAAAGACAATCATTGACAGGTTTAAGATCAATATATCGTCACTACCAAATCAAAACAGTATGGCAAAATGTGATGGAGAAAATCATCAAAATAATATGAAAAAATGTGATAGAGAAAATCAAAACTATTGTGATTGCCAAATTACATAAAAAACCGCAATAAGACAATAAAAATGAATAGTTTTAACACCAGAACTGGTGATTGACCTAGGTTGGCCTCCAGGTCACCTGGTCAATTTTATGCTACCATCTACGTGTTGGGAAAAAAAAGTTGTTTAATTGAGGATGGGCTAAAAATGGGGCTGCAAAGAATTATTTTCTTTTGTTCGATAAAACTTGGAATCTCGTGACCAGCCTGAACTTTCTCGTATATTTTGAGTGCTCTATCCATCACCGTATCTTGGCTAACCATCTCGACTATTCGCCCTGCGGAAGGATGAGTTGTGTCCAAGTAATATTTATCTTCATCATTGTGGTATAATTTTTGGAGAACGTGCGGAATAAGTCTTGGATCGTATCCAGCTGCGGCCATCAACATTAGAACAATGTAATTTGCCTGGAGTTCCTTCCTGCAAAACAGTGAAACTGATGATTTCTCATATTGGTTATTTTACCTGGAGTTTGTAGCTTGCAAGTAATATTTTTCACAACTTATAAGGTGTTGAACTGATTGAACATGTACTTCCCAGTTATAAATTTAAACTCTCTCCTCGCCAATCCCCTAGAACAATAATAAGGAAATACTTTCTAAGTAAGACTTCTGTATCTTATCCAACTACTAACAATGTAATGATTAAATAGAAATCCTGCACAATCATGCTTATTTCAAATAGATATCATAATTATTCTTCTCCAAACTCTGCCACCAACTTCATCTGATTCAACTAGTTATGAAATTCGTTCCTTACCTTCTGGAGGAGTAAAGCAACAAGTCGCATAAACGCACAAATATTGCACAACACCAAAAACCTGATGTACAAGAGATTAGGCCAACTAAGGCCAACAGAGGAAAAAAGAGGTTCGCTTCAGGATGCATAGCCACTCCATGCCCAACCTAACCATGATAAAGCTCGATGTAAAGATTATACGGAATCATTTAACTTGAGTTTGAATTTTATTTTTAAATGCCACAAAAAGAAAAAAAAAGAAAAAAAGAAAAAAAAGAACTAGATGAAAACCAAGGGAAGATTTCATAAAGTTAATTTTCACAAGTCTAATATATCAACCATATTGATATACATCACTGTACTAAAAGTCGGGTAAGACGGGATTATGGAGCCCCAATTTCGTCTATGCGTCCCTTCTAGGCGCTCGGACAATTAGGCGACGCCTAGGCGGTCTAAATGCTTGCAAAATTAGTCACGCTTAGACTGGTTAGGCGGTCCCAGCGCCGACTAGGCTCTCGAAAAATTGTATATATATAATTTGATTTGTATACATTAATTTACTATAATTACAAATAATAATAGTAATA